GGTTTTGACCCAAAAGGCATCAATTCCGAATGACTCCATTCGGTTTTGACTCAAAAGGCATCAATTCAGAATGACTTCATTCGGTTTTGACCCAACAGGCATCAATCCCGAATGACTCCATTCGGTTTCGACCCAAAAGGCATCAATCCCGAATGACTCCATTCGGTTTTGACTCAAAAGCCATCAATTCCGAATGACTCCATTCGGTTTTGACTCAAAAGGCATCAATTTCGAACGGCTCCATTCGGTTTTCTCCCAAAGTGAAAACAGCACCGAATAAGGTTACTCGGTTTAGGGTCAAATTAATCTTACTCAGTTCTTCCTGGGATGGATTATTGAATTATTAACTTATGCAATATACGGTTTTGCGTAAAACTCCCCGGATTTCACAATTCAAAAATATACAGCACTAGTTCGGAATGAAAGAGAAAACACTACTTTTATTTAGAAGGTTCTAATGACCTTGTTCATAGAAAAAAAGGTCCGAAACCGACCGTGACCGACCGATGCTCAGGCCTATTGATATCAAACCATTTACACTTACTCATCTCAATTAACTTGTTGCCAAATTCACTACTACAGTAATTAGTAACCAAGATCAAGATCACCTCTTTCTCACTGAAAGAAAGATGAAGACCATGAACAAAATTCTCATAGTCCAAAAAATCCGTACACTAGAAAGACAAGTTGAAGGCAATTCAATGCTTCCGATATGTAGTTGTTGTTTTTTCAACAGCTTTACCAACTTCATCCCAATAAAGATGATAAATAGCTTAAATACTTATTTCTTTCTAAAATATTCCTTTTTTTCTTAAAAATTTTTTGCTTAATTTTTTCTCTATGTAATATATATATATATATATATTTTCATATCATAAAGGGAGCTAATTTGGTATCTGACAATTGCTAAGAAAAGTCTATCATTACTAGAAAGAATTTTTGTTTTTGAATCTCCTCTATCTTAGATTTATTTTCTTATGGTCGCAAACGCTTTAACTTTCTTGGTTCTATTTTGGACTTCTACCTAGTCCTCCATATATATGTATATATATATATATATATATATATATATATATTAAAGAGAAAAAGATATTTAAGCTTAAAAAATTAAGCAAACAAATTCATTACATCTAAAAATCGGTTTATAAAAAATAAAAATTAACACAACTACTAACAAATTCAATTTCCATCGTAACAATATGACAAGTCATTACACTTACTATAACGTAGCAAAAAAATTTAAAATAATAATCAACTAAGATTATCATGCAACAAACACCTAATTATTCATGCATATAGATATATGTATAGAGTGCAAAACTAAAAACAATACCTGCTTATGAACTAGAAAACAGTAATCCCCTCTTTGGGGGTTACATAAACACCTTGTACATATATACATTCTACATAAAACTATACCATTATTTGCAAAACGATTCCTAATTGTCAGTCAAACTTCTATACAACAACCATGTTGCATCAAAGTAGCATGAACAAAATGAATTATCACCAACAAGACTCTTCACTAGTCATATTGTCTGTACTAATTTATTGCATGATTGTTAATATATTGATTGTGTGGTATGGACTATTGTCTGTACTTGTATGATTGATTTTTTTTAAACTCTAGCTTACCCTTCTGTTTCCATGTGGTGGAACTACGATGATCATACTTGGTATGAAAGCAGGTCAGGGCTAGCTTGGAGTTGAGGTGACCGCTGCGAGACGGGGAGTTTTGATCCTCGTATTAGAGTTGCCACTTTGGGTAGCAGTTTTGTGCTTGACCGGCACTAGGAGATAGTAGTTTTGGATAACTGTATAAATACCTAATACTTAAAAACTTAATGATTTATATATATATATATTTATGTTTTTGTATTTATAAGTTATCCAATTTTATTATTTATCTTAGTTCACTATTTTTAGTGCGATTCCACTAAGTGTAGGAACCACGGTGGATCGTTACAGAAGAAGGGTTTCTAGTGGAAAAAGGGAAGAAAGAAGATTTGGATTTCAAAGAATGTCTCTTTAACTTCTCTCTATTTTTTTTAAATATGAACTTATAAAATTCACATCTCAATAAAATATTATATACCCTTCCTAACTCTGAATCAACTTAACATTTAACGCAAATCACCTCAATCACTTAACTCTAAAGGTTTCTAAACTCACATAACTCTAAAATAACATTAATAACAACATGGTAACATTTAATCATATATCATATATGATTAAATTAAAACACAATGTTACACCTCCAATATTAAAATAATATTTAACTATTAAAAATCATAGTTCACGATCATAAATTAATTTTTAATTATAAAAATATTGTATTTATGATAAATAAATAAATAAAATTGTTAGATCGAATGAAATTATACTCTACTTTTCTTGTGTATGCAGCCGCGTTAACTCTTGGGGTCAGCTATCACACCCTTTGAGATGCCTTTAACATAGCGAAAAGATTAGTTACTCCTATCGACTTTAGATACTCCAGGAATTGAAAAAAAAAATTATACTCTACCTTCTTAAATAATTTTTTTAATCTTGTATATAAAAAGAATTGAGATGGGTGAAGTCAATAAATAGGTAGCTGTAAAAAGAATTGACAAGACTGTTTCCTTGGTAAATTTGATAACCGTCTGCACTCTGCACGCCCGTGTCTTTCTCATTATTGCAACCTTCGTAGGTACTAAATTACTAATATCCATGTCACCCCTTACGCGGTTTCAAACTGTACTACACACTCAAAATCAAATTGTACTGCAGTAGTTTCCTTCTCTGATTCATGTGTATCCTAAATTATCGTTACTATGTAATTGTGATAATATTATCATAATTATATGTTAACGTACGCATATTAAAAAAACAATTATATATAATACGTAATATAGATGTCGTGCTCCGTGGAGCCGGAACTGATATAAAATGTTCAATAAATTTTAAAAGAGCAGAACATACCTCGTGGTTTATAAAATTTATTTTATATATGAATTTAGTTGAAGAAAAAGTTACGTGAATTTTTTAAATACAAGTATTAAATTAGATTTTGAAGTAAAAATGAGTAAAGAAACTAAAATGACGAACTGAAGATTCAAATGATGATATGATATGACAAATAAAATTGGGTGATTATTAGTATAATCGATTGTTGGATGGAATGATGTTGATATGAAGAAATAATTGTTTTGAAAGCATAAGCGGTTTGGGTGGGAAGCTTATACCGTGGGCTGCCGAGTGCGCATTAAGTTTTCTTTTTCTTTTCATAATCTTCTATCTGTAATATATATAAACTCAAGATGATAATTTAATTTGGTATATATATTAATTATTTAAAAATTAACTGCTCTTATAAATTTAAAATTTAAATTCAAAATTTTTAAGTTTAAGAATTAGATACAACATTAATTAGTTTAATCAAAATTGATAATTTTAATTATTTTTATTAAATAAAATATATTTTCTCTCAAAATAAAATATAAAAATACAGAATGTCTCGACCCATTTAATATATATAAGATAGGTTTGTCATTTTTATATCCATATTTTGTTTGATATTTTAACTCTTACTATTTATCATTTGTTAGTTAAAAATTAAAATTAAAAAAAAATCACAAAAATTTATAAAAAAATAACTGTAAATAACTATAAAACCATGTTTGACAATTTTTTTTTACAAAAGTAATCACTGTTTATTACTGTTTTACTTTTTTTTCACTTTCACTTTTCTTTTTCTTTTATATTTTATATTTTTAAATATATATAGAGGAATGGAGTGTTTATTTTTTTTTAATAAAGTATAGTTTTTTTTAACCGAGTGGATTATTATAAAAATAAAATAGTATTTTTCAATTACATCTTTATGTTCAAGATGAGATTAAAGTTCGACACAAATCTCTTGATATAACAATTATTAGTAACTACGTATTAAGCTTGTGACAACTTCAAAATATCATTTTCATTGTTATTATTTTTTTTTACTGTAGTGTAAAAATCACCTCACATTAATGTTAAATATGTAAATTAATTAATATAAAATTATTCTAGTCTAATTAATTATCTCGAATTCAAAAACATAATTTTATCATCCATTATAGTTTTAACCGATTTGAAAAGAGTTCCTCATAATTAAAGATACGTGTGACTTATAGGAAAAAAAAATTCAACCGAATATACATAAGGATCATGATATATATACCTCCTTGTTTTATAAGTACATTTCCTTTTAAAAAAAATAATTAAAATTTTAAAATATTTTTAATTTTTATTATTTTAATTTTTTTATTTTACACTCCTAACATTTAATTTAACATTTTTTTTACATACCTTTTTTACATACCTTAATTTTTCTTCACTCTCACTTATTTTGGTAGGTAATTTTAATTCTTTTAGTTTTACATTATACTTTTTACCTTTCTCTTTCAGTTTTCTCACTAATTTCATTATCTGCATAATACTCTAGAATAGTGAATTTTTTTTCAAACACTAAACTTAATGTTAAGATTTTTGGAGGGGTGAAAGGAAAGAAAGTGCCGGAAGAAAAAATGTGTGTCTAGTTTGATAGAAATTGTAGAGAAAGTTACACGTATCTACAATATTTTTGTCTACTAGTTTTATGATTTGGGTACATGTAAAAAAGTGAAAGAGGTGAGAAAATAAAAGAGTAATATAAAAATTAAGAGAATTAAAACTACCCATTGAAATAGGTAAAAAATCAGAGGAAGACAAAATGTTGCATGTGAAAACTGGAAAAAGAGGTGTGTGAAAAAAATAATAAATTAAAAGTTAAAGATGTAAAATTAAAAATTTAAAGAATAAAAAAAGTTATAAATATTTTAAGTTTTTTTTATAAAAAAAGAAAAAAGAAAAGAAGTGTATTTATAAAATAAAAAAAGAGAGGTGTATATATCATCAGCCTATTTTAAAACGTGAGTCTAGGCCCATTAGAAACAGTGACGCGTGAGTCCAGGCCCAACAGAAACCCTGAGGCAGAGAAGACGGTGCTAGGGTTTGTATAAGTTAGGAAGGGAATGGCGTGAGGGTAGTAACGGCGAGAGTGGAGAGAGAGCGAAGGCGAAGATGGTGAAGTTTCTGAAAGCGAACAAAGCGGTGATCGTGCTGCAGGGGCGTTACGCGGGAAAGAAGGCGGTGATAGTCCGAAGCTTCGACGAGGGAACGCGCGAGCGCCCCTACGGCCACTGCCTGGTTGCGGGGATAAAGAAGTACCCAAGCAAGGTCATCAAGAAGGACTCCGCCAAGAAGACCGCCAAGAAGTCCCGCGTCAAGGCCTTCCTCAAGTTGGTCAACTACCAGCACCTCATGCCCACGCGCTACACGCTCGACGTCGACCTCAAGGACGCCGTCACCCCCGACGCCCTCCACGCCAAGGATAAGAAGGTCACCGCCCTCAAGGAGACCAAGAAGCGCCTCGAGGACCGCTTCAAGACCGGCAAGAACCGGTGGTTCTTCACCAAGCTCAGGTTCTGAGCTATTCTATACTATGCATTCTTTTTGCTTCTACTTCTCGCTTTCCATTTCTTAATTGTTAACTTTTAATTCTCTCCTCACCCTACATTTCGCTACTTTTCGCTTTATTTTTTTTATATTTTCGCAATGTGTTTGATTCCTGTTGTAGATTCACCTTCTTTGGTTCCTGAATCGGTTAGATTTGCCTTGTTTGATTTCGATTGTAGCATGTTTTCGAAACCCTAGCATTTTAATTGGCCGAATTAAAAAGTGAGAAAATACACTCTAATACGACGACGTTTAAGGAATTATGTGAGTAATCATACTTTTATTTGTTGATTCTTTTCATCTGTTTACTGCACACTCCGAGGTGAATCCGAACTAAATTTATGATACAAACGCAAACATAGGATCAGCTTCTGTGTTCATACAGGGTAGTGGTGTGTTTGGATTATGGTTTAAAACTTGAGATGAATTTGATTTTCCAAACCAATGTTAAAACAGAACAACTTTCTTGCTTTTGAATCACTTGAGGCTGTGCTGCATTTGGGATTAATTAACTGCGTTTACGAGATCAATTGCGTGGAAAAATTGACAAGATGAAAGACACTAAGAAAACATGCCTATCGATCGATTACTAGGCGTCATTTGTTTTGAGTTTCGTCACAAAGTTAAAAAAAAAAAAATATATTTGGTAAACAATTGTAATTTGATGGGAATCTTTTTGTTATTTCTAGGAATAATTGAAATGTTTGTTTCATGTTATAGTTTCTCAGAAATGTATACTATAATAATAGTATAAATCAAAATGCCATTATTACAATTAATATGTATTTGAATTTTTTTATTATTTTGAATTAAACTATCATAATTATAATTTTTTTAATAATATTAAATATTGTAAAATAAGTAAAGGATTAGTATTTTCATTTAGTTTATGTAAATCAGCAATAAATAATGTCATTTTATTGTTGTTATGCATGTGATGAGAGCATTCAGGGCATAGAATATTAGTCTAAGCTTGAGGGCAGGGACAACATTAACCCCATCACTGCCCTAATGTTGCATCGCTGAATTCTGAAATGGCGAATACATACATTATTTAAGGCGAAGTAATATAAGAAAAATAAGCACTTAACAAAAAGAATACAAGACTCATGAGTTTTTTTTTTTTTTTTTTTTTTTTAAGTTGTAGTTATCTATAATATATTATAAAGGAATTGTCTCGTATACATTTTCTTGGTGTATACAGTTTTTTTAAAGGAATTTATTTTTAAAAAAATTTTGTTATAAAAAAATAGTATTAAAAGTTAATCATTTTTATAAATATAAGATTTGAACTCAATTTTTATATTTGAGAATCAAATATAACACTAATTTAATCTTAGTAAACATTAATAATTTTTGAACACTTTTAAAAGTATGAAGTGTTTCAATTTTACCAATAATATATAAGGATGATTCATCATTTTTATGTATATAAATTTTGAAATGTTTTTATTCTTTATTTACTATGATAACTATATATTTTTTAGAAGAGGATAATTTGGTAGTTTTACTTTATTAATTTAAATAAAAGTTATTATTTTCTAAAAAAAAATTGCAACATAATTATTTTCTAACTTCTACATCTCACGGTCAAGATAGTGCCTTTTTTAATATTAAGGATTATTTTGGAGCCGGTTATGAAAGTGAAATTTATAGAGGAACGGAAAAGAAAATAATTAAAACTAAATAAAAAAATGGTAGATAAGGAAATAATGGTTATTGGAATATAATCGTCCCAAAAAACATGTACGTGAATGGAGTTTTCCTCTTTTATTAGTGTAGGTTATTAATTCACTCTAAAATTTATAGGTACGATTAGTCCATTCAACTTTCAGGTGTTACATTGCAATCTCCATTTGAGATAGCATCCAACTCGTGATTTTGAGAAAAATAACTCAAAAAGAAAAAATATTTCAAGATGTAACAGATTTAATATTAACATTGCTTATATAGATCAACCAAAGAGATAGTCCAAAAGATTTTTTTTCCATAAACATTTGAAATTCACATCTTTCTATTTTTTCTTCTCAAACAAATTACATTTTTAGTTTTTAATGTGCGGAGTCGAATGACTTTTTTCATTATGATAAGTATGTCAGGTTTGATCACGAGTTGGATTTTGGTTGAAAATATTCGGTCCGACCTAAATCGACCAGGAAAAAAATAGATCTATTTTCAATCGCTATAATACTTTTGGTTATTCGACTTTTGAGTTACATAGGTGGATAAAATCGGATTGGACCATATTGATCACACTATTTTTTTTTTCTTAGTTTATTTTAGTCGATCAAAATCTATAAAATTGTTTAATTTAATCGGGTAATATTAGGTCTACAATTTTTTTCCCTCTTTTATTCTCAACTGTTTAAATCTATTAAATTATTATTATGAGCCTTTATTATTAATAAATTTTAATTCTATATTGGTATATTACTGTTAGAGTAAAATAAGGTAGCTTAAGAATACTCGAAACTTGAGAGTACTCAAAATTGTGGGAGATCTAAAAATAGTAAAAGAAAGCTCTGAAAACATGCGAAGTATAAGAAGAATCGGGAGACACTTGAATACATCTTTCGCGAAGCACTCGAAATCCTTGAAACTCTGCCACTCATAAAAATGCTTCGCAGCTTCGCAACCTCTCAAAGTGAAGGAGTTAGAAGAGACATGGTTAGAAACAACTTCCGAGTTGATGAAACACATGTGAAGTACAAGAAGAATCAGGAGACACTCGAATATATCTTTTGCGAATCACTCAAAATCCCATAAACCAGCCATTCATGAGCATGCTTCACAACCTCTCAAAATGAAGGGGTTAGAGGAGACACGGTTAGGGACAGGTTGAAGTAAATCGAAAGAATAAGTATAAGAGACTACAGAGCAGTTTGGGGGGTTATAAACAATTCTGAAAGTTATTAGAAGACGTGTATGAATGACCCATGATATGGAAGTTTAAAACGGTTATACATTTGTGGTACGACAGATTACAGTTATTATGATTCCTCAAATCTCTATAAATTAACGAGTCGCGCTCATGGAAAAGGGTCATAAATAGTGTACTTACGAAAGCTCACAAACACTCTTTGCTTGCGCATAAGGCTCTCGTGTACGAGACTGCTGAGTACGTGTTGAATGAAGGATATGATTTCTGCAATCAATATACGTGTTGTTTATTCAATTCATATTGATGTTCATATGCATGGAATTAGTTGTATGATAAATATAGATGAACACATAGAGATTCTGGTATGCTAAGCAAGTATAATTGTACGATAAATAACTAACTCTGTATGCTATGAGTATGAAAAATTGTAAGAGCTTGTCACGTTATACATGCCTAAATTGAAATCTAGTTTGAATAAAAATGACCTATAAACTAAAATCACCACAAACAATTACAAAAAAAAAGTAAATAAATAAATCACATTCAAATTTTAGTTTAAGTCATTTTTTTAAATGATTACTAGATTTGAATGCTAATTAATAGAAGAAGAAAAATGACCATTTACATTTACATATACATAATCTAAATATTGAATCTAAACCTTTAATGTTTGTCTATAATTATTCATATCTAAGATGATATATTCATAATAAAACAATCAAACTTTAATGTTTGTCTATAATTATTCATATCTAAGATGATATATTCATAATAAAACAATCAAATGTGACTATTCACAACTAGATTATCGAGATAAATATATATATATATATATATATATATATATATATATATATATTATTGATAGTGCTTCATTTGCCTCATCTTACACATATTTCTTTCAAGACTTCCAAACATTTAGTAACTTGATCATGTTGTCCCTGTAATTCATATAAACAAATATGCCATCTTTCATTGATTTCTTTTTTTATAATGGAGTTTTATCTTTGAAGAATTCCACTTCTTCTAATCTTGAAATTTGCAATAGTTTCTCAACTTTAAGTGCCTTAACTTAGTCTTTTAAAAAGAAAAATATATTATTGTCAACATAAAAAAAATTACCTAATGATGCAATTTAGGCGAGATAAGAAATCTAGTGAGACATAAAACTATTGCAGTCACAACAGAAGCCATAAACAATCATACTCCAATAATATAGCAATCTACAAATTCAAATTGAAAATTCAGAGTTTGAAATAAAAAAATACAATTAGTAAATAATATAATAAAGTTTTTAAGAAGAGAATAAAAAAATAATGAAAAGAGCCGCTTTCTTAGTTGTTTGTGCTTTAAATAAATGTTTTTATACTGTAACAAGATAGTCTCATCTTGCTTGATATGAAATTTCAAAGACTTACGCTTCTAATTATAATAAAATCTACATCATCAATTTCTTCCCCCTAAACCATAACAATACCAAAAGAGGGATAATTAGGCATAAGAAATATAAAAACACAAATATATCAAATGGGTGATCAAGTTTATGATTTAGGCAACTTGAATTTATGGGTTAGTAACAACAAGAACACCACCAACCCTTCATGTCCTGGATCAACCATCAACAATGCAAGCTATTTATTTATCTTCCATTATTTATTATGAAGTATTGTCCCCCACCACACCAAAAAAAGAATGGCTTACACCTATAAAAAGAAACTTATCAACTCAAATTGTGAATCCCCCAACTCGTTCAATCCTTTATCGTTCATCGAATCTATTAGGCTTTATGATCAATTGATAAAGGAATAGCTACATTGAAAGAAAAATTCATATGAATGATAAGAAGAGGAAAAAAAAAGGATAGAAATAGAAAATTATATAGATTGCCTATCAAATTATAAGTAATTTGCAATGAAATTTTACAAGAAAAAAATAACATTGAAAATTTAGTAAAATTGAAGTGACCAAAAACCAATGTTTGACAATGTAATGTAGTGAAAGAAAACATGTTGCACACCATATTAAAAATATGCGTGTCCAATGTAAACACAATTCTCGCCACATAGAACTGACACACCATCAACCTAAATCAGTTGTACATGCAACTGCTTGGAATCACCAACTTTTGCAACAATAATTCGGTCTCCCAAAAACATAATTGTTGATGCAATTGACCTAACATCCTTTTGATGCTCATTTTTTCATTGAGATAGTCAACATCTATTTGTTTTAATGCTTCAACTGCAATAAAAAAAATAATAGTACAAAAAATAACTATAATGTGATATGAAAATTTTACTACATTGTATAATTTTCAAAAAATGAAGTTCGTATTTATAATAGTCTTTGTGTCTTTGGTAAAGTCAGGGCGACTACTCA